AACAAAACATTGAATTTCATACACTATTTTCCATTGATTGAATACAGATAGTACTTGCAGTATGGAAATACTTGCATCCCCGAAGTAACTAAATCTTAGACAGAATTGTAGAAGTGGTTTTATAGATGAGAGAAGTTATTATATAACTAACAGTTATTGTGTCATGGAGTCAGGAAAAGAAGTGTAATAGAACAGTTTGAAAGTCTGGCTGACACTATCAAAAGCCCTTTGTCTAACATATCAACTTATCTTCTAGGGTTGAACATGCTTAAAGTTAAGTTATAAATTAAAATCAAAATAAAGTACTAAATTATGCATGCATTTATCGACAGTTACATGACAAATCACAAAGGCAACATATCAGGATGTCTTTTAGAACTTATTGTTGCTGTGAATTTTTAAAAATAAATAAGAATGTGTTTGGACAAGTACCATTCTGGGGTTGTATGAAAACTGCAAACATGTGCTAAAATCATATGTAAATGTACCAACTTTGATACTTTACAGTCATAATCAAGGAATAATATCATATATGTATGGGATAAGACCAATGTCAAAATAAAGTGTAGTACTTTTTTCAATGTTGCTACACATAAGAAACAGAATTAGTATTGAAAAGTATTCAACTCTTACTTCCATCATGATCAACGACTCAGCTGGATATTTAGTTTACATTCAGATCTGGATTCATTATTTAAAATCAAATGATGAAACAAAATTGTTCTACGTCAAGTCATATACCATGTATATTTACATGTCTAACCTTATGAGCAAGTGCATGTTTTTCTGGATAGGTTTACAAATATTTGTCACATCTGAAAAAAAACGAGAACTGAACCAAATTAAAGATGAAGTCATTTAATCATACATACTTAGTTTGTATAAATAGAATACAGATAGTACGTGCAGTTTTGAAATGTCAGATACTATCAAAAATCACATGTCCAACCTAATGAACAAACAAATCACAATGTCTTTTTAACATTTTTACACACATGTGTCTCAATTGAAAAGACAAAAATTGAACCAAATTAACAAAACAGTCATTGAATTTCATACACTATTTTCCATTTATTGAATACAGATAGTACTTGCAGTATGGAAATACTTACATCCCGGTAGTAACTAAATCTAGGATAGAATTGTAGCAGTGGTTTTATAGATGAGAGAAGTTATCATATACATCAATTTGTCCAACTAACAGTTATTGTGCTATGGAGTCTGGGAAAGAATCGTTATTGAACAAAGCTTGAAAGTCTGGCCGACATTATCAGTAGCCCTTTGTCTAACATATCAATTTGTCTTCTAGGGTGGAACGTGCTTAAATTTATGTAATGAATTAAAATCAAAACATTAAAATCAAGTACTAAGTTGTACATGCGTTTATTGACAGTTATATGCCAAATCATAAAGGCAACTTATCAGGATGTCTTTTAGAATTTATTGTTGCTGTGAATTTTTTATAAGAAAAATGCAAATATGTGCTAAACTCATTTATAAATGTACCAACTTTAATACTTTACAATAATACTCATAGTATAGTCATAATTTGATATATGTATTGGAGAAGATCAATGCCCAGATGGCGTGTAGTACTTTATTCAATTTTGCTACATATAAGAAACAGAAATAGCATTGAAAAGTATTCAACTCTTGCTTCCATCATGATCAACGACTCAGCTGGTTATTTAGTTTACATTCAGATCTGGATTCATTATTCAAAATCCAACGACAAATCAAAATTGTTCAACCTCCAGTCATATACCATGTACATTTACATGTCCATCCTTATGAACAATTGCATGTCTTTCTGGACAGTTTTTCAAATATTTGTCACACTTGAAAAATGAGAACTGAACCAAATTAAAGATGAAGTCATTTAATCATACATATTTAGTTTGAATTAATAGAATACAAATAATTCTTGCAGTATTGAAATGTCAGATACTATCAAAAATCACATGTCCAACCTAATGAACAACAAACCATAATGTCTTTTTTGACATTTTAACACATATTTGTTCCAATTGAAAGACCACAACTGAACAAAATTAACAAACAAGTGATTGAGTTTCATACACTTATTTTCCATGGATTGAATACAGATAGTACTTGCAGTATGGAAATACTTGCATCCCGGAAATAACTAAATCTTAGATAGAATTTTAGAAGTGGTTTTATAGTTGAGAGGAGTTATCATATTAATCAATTTGTCCAACTAACAGTTATTGTGCCATGGAGTCATGGAAAAAAGTCTTATTAAATAAATTTTGATATTGTGGCTGACATCATAAGAAGCCCCATGTTAAACATATCAACTGGTCTTTTAGGGTTGAATATGCTGGAATTTATTTCATAATTAAAAATCTTATTATTTATTTTTTTCTAAAAGAACTAAGGCCTCACTGTGCCCCTGAGATGAAGAACAGCAATACAAACGCTGTTACTTTGTTTTTTGTGTTATTTACTGAATTTGTATCATGGATGGATACCCCATATCCTTTCTTTTCTATCAACTTCTGTTTTACATCATGGAAAGGTGCATATCAAACCATTAAGGTAACAGATCCATATGTCATTTGTAACGTATTGTTGCTGCGATGTTTAACAATAAGTAAGTGTGTTTGGACAAAAAACATTTCAGAGTTTTTGAACACTGACAATATAGAACTAACATTATCTATGAATTAAAACTTTACAGTCATACTCAAGGACTGATATGATGTATCCATGTGGGATAGGATCACTGCCAGGATTACTTTGATGACCTCATTCAATTTAGTTATAAATAAGAAACAGAATGAGGCAATAAGAGTTAAACACTTGTTTCCATCATGAGCACTGGAGCAGGATATCCTTTAATTAAAAATCAGAATTCAATTAATGATCTAAAATCAAATGATCAAAGAAAATTGTTCCAGCTCCTACCAGTTATCACGAACAGTCAAATGCCCATATACAGAACAACATCTTGTCTTTTGTTACATACATAAATGTCACACTTGAAAAGACTTGAAGTGGCCCCAAATAATAGGAGAAGTCATTTAATAATACAAAATTATTTTCCATGGATTGAATCCAGATAGCACTTGCATTATGGAAATAATTGCAGCCGTGAAGTAACTAAATCTTAGATATCATTGTAGCAGTGGTTTTACAGTTGAAAGAAATTATCATATACACAAATTTGTTACAACTAACAGTTATTGTGTCATGGAGCCAGGGATGGATGTTTGTTTTATTGAGCAATTATCTATACTGTGGCTGTCATTATAAATAGTCCCATGTCCAACATATCATCTTGTATTTAAGGGTTGAACATGCTGAAACTGATGTAACAAATTAAAAGCAAATCATTAAAATTAAGTACTTTATTCTGATTGCCATGGACATAACTATTTTCTTTGGTAGAATGGTTACAGTTGATTTACAGTTGAGAGAAATTACTTTGTTAAAAACAATGTTCAATTAGAAGTTATCGTGCCATGTAATTTATGAAATGAGTGTTATTTTAAAAATTTAAATATTCTGGTTTTTTTTAGGGTTCAATATACTGTATGACATTATGGACAGTAATTAACATGTCAAATCATAAAGGTAACAATAGAGGATATCTTTTAGAACGTATTGGTACTGAGATTTTTCACAATAAAAATGAATGGGTTTTGAGCAAAATACATTCTGTAGTTATTAGAACACTTGCTATTTGTGCTTAAAATCATATGTAAACATTTAAATGTACCAAATGATATACCTATAAAGGATGGTACAAATGCCGAGATCATGTTTAGTACTTTATTCAAGTTTGTTTCATATAAGAAACATAATAAGCCTTGAAAAGAGGTAGCCAAACCTGGTGACATTATGGCCTTTAACTCATGCACATGCTGACTACAAAAACTTTCGAACTGTTGCCAAATAATCAGGACAGTGAAACAGTGCTGTTCATTTAGCATAAAAGAATCCCTTGAATGTTGTTATGTGGAAGTTGTCATCACCTTTAGTTAATTGTTTTAGCTTACATAATGAAATAATATTTGTAATAGACTGTACTTTGTTGATGTTATTGTATTAACTAACCGGTTCTGTCTTAATATTATACAACTTCCGTTTCCGGAAGTCATTTATCTCCCCTGATTCCAAGTGTCAGTTGTACATAAAAAGCGCTCTTACATCCTCAATTGAAAATGTGTAATAATTATATCATTTACGTTCTTCAGATCATCGAATTGGTAAATGCAGAAGGAAATAAAAAAGGCAATACTTCAATATTTACTAATGTTTATGATCTATATCCAAATAAGAAGGCGTAAATATTTAAAAACCATTCCCGCTTTTGAATAAGACTGTGATAGATTACAATTAAAAGTTACTTTTAATATCAAATCTTAATACAATAAGTTATGACGATATATTTGATTTGCATCAATGTAAAAATGTATTTTTTTATAAAAAAAATGTCCTTATTTTATCTTGAAATTTATTACCTTAAAATCAATACTGAATTCTACAAATCCGTGTCTTACTTAATGAACTGTTTAAATGTAATTAACGCAAACTATATTTTTCTTAATTGATTGCCACATGTGGAGAAGGATCTGCTCACCCTTCTCGAGCATCTGAGATAACCTCCGGTTTTTAGCGGGGTTCGTGTTGTTCAGTCTTCAGTTTTCTGTGCTGTGATTTGTGTACTGTTGTTTGTCTGTTGGTTTTTTTTTTCTTTTTTAGCCATGGCCTTGACAGTTTGTTTTCGGCTTATGAGTTTCAATGTCAATTTGGTATCTTTCGCCTCTATTTAAAAGCAAAAATATCTCCAATATTGTCATTTTTCACAAAATATTGAAACTAACACATTATTAATATTCAAAAATTTGTACTACCACACTACTAATTTCGAGGCTTCCCTAATTAGTCCATATAGGAAACTTTATTAAATTCAGATCCTTTAAAACTTATGACTGAAGTTTACAAAAATACTTTTTCATCTTGAAATGTCTTACCTTAAAATCCATATTGAATTCTACAAATTCTTGTCTTCCTTGATGAACTGAAATTTAAATGTTATAAACGCAAACTATATTTTTCTTATTTTAAACCAAAGATCTCAAAATACCAAAACATTATTTATATTCAACAAATTTCACTACCACATAATTTCGAGGCTTCCCTAATTATTCCATATAAGTAACTCTATCAAATTCCGTTCCTTTAAAACTTTTGACTCCCGTATTGTTTTTTCTTGCTTTCATTGTTTGTCTTGAATCTGAATTTTTACAACAATAATTTCTTTTTTTTTCAAATGATTTCGAAAAAGGAAAATATGACTGTGCTTTCATTTCTTCAAAATGAAATTGTTTTGGTTTATAGACAGCCCTTGAACAAAATCTACACTCAACAGAGTATTTGAATGACTTTTTTAACATTTTTTTCGAATTAACAATGCTGTGGAATATAGTATATCTTTATATTGGTATTATCCTATTTCAATTCAGTATCATTTTTACAAACATAATACGTAAGTCATTGTTTGCGTTTATTTTAATCGACACATCATGATATATTTCAAATAAAAAGTTCGCCTTAGCAAACAAATCTTAGTAATATATATTTTTGATTCGGCTTCTAATCCTTTTAAACATTTTTTTAGATTAAAAAAATAATTGATTTGCATGTAAGAATAAAATAAAAAACTATTTTTGCCAGCTAAATTACTGCAAATAAATATTATCTCTTTATGTAAATAATAACATGAATGAATTAATTAATTAATGTAACGCAGGCGTTAATAAACCCACTAATATATGTGTCATTAATAGCCTACCGTTAAAATCATAGTTAACAGTTTATATGAAAGTTTAAATATTACAAACTTAGTGCTAAATCGGATATACGGGACATGTCGAGTAACACATTATTCAATCAGATGTATTAAAACTAAAACACTTTTCATAATTGCTTTCATTATACCAGGTTTGATGTTTTCAAACGTGCTATATATTTACCCGCTTTTGCACAAATTCCGTAAACAATAATGAGAACTTCCAACCTTAAAACGAACATTATGTCACTAAAATAAAAAATAAACAAGCGTTCACTCAGGGTAAATACGTTGCAAATACATCGTTTTAACCGCTTCCTCTCATATCCGTTGTGTGGTTTTGTTTGATTTCACAATACAAAATATGTAGCAAGATATTTGTTTGTCACTGTAATTCTATTACCGGAACCACTCATCATTATATCATTGTTTTTTTATTTTTAATATTTTCAGCGATATGTTACCGAAACTTGAAACATAAACGCTCCCAACATCACGTAGCATAAACCTTTCTATTCGTGATGTTATACAGCATACATGTGTAATATTTTATATCATTGACTGTCTCACGAGTGTGTGATTATTTTATGACAAAAGTTATAATTCGTTATAAATAAAATCCTGCCTGTATGCAGTCGAACATTGTGATAACATACCTTTTCCACTACAACCTTTTTAAGACAATGCGCTAACCAATGAAATGTAGGACTATGAGAAAACGACTTATGATTGAAGTTTATAATCCTTGCTGACATTGTATTCATGTCACTCGTCCACTTTGTAACGTGTCAAAAACAAACTATTTTTATAGTTAATTAAGCAAACAATTCCTTATATATTAGAGGTATATATTGCACAGTTAGTAATAAAATATGTTCAATTAAAAGGTATTACAATTGAGAATTTTACCACAAAATATTCCTTTTACAGCGGTAAATTAATTTTCACGTGAAACTTATTTTGCACAAGTTTGAATAAGAAGTGGGTAAGCTAGCTATACATCCAGGTTTAATCCACATTTTCTTTAGAAAATGCCAGTACCAAGCCAGGAATATGACAGTTGTTTGCCATTATTTTCGTTGGTGATATAGTCGAGCGTTTGATTTTTTTTCAGATATTATGGACTTCCCTCTTTCTGAATTTACCTTTACTTTTCTTCATATAAGTGAAAGTTAAAAACAACGTGCTTACATTTCAAAATTGAAATTTCTGGTTGAGATTAAGGTTGTTTTTCTATTTTACACTGTTTTTAAGGTCGCAATGGTTACTAGAGTTAATAAATATATAATAAAAGTCGTGTCTAAGATAAAAAAAATTCTAACTCAAATATGCACATTTAATTGAAAATTCTATCAAACGAATTTTAGATGCTCGATTAAAATTTTAAACTGCAGAATTTTACTTTATTGATCTGTAAAGTATATGTTCCTGTAGTCATTCGAACAGGCTGTAACAAAAGCCAAAAACATAATGCTCGAGGAACATATACTTTACAGTTCCATAAAGTAAGTTTCAACCAGTCAGAACTGAATCCAAACTCAAAATTCATTATATCTAATATTAGTCAGGAAAAATGAAAAAAATACACCTTATTATTAGAAAATAAATAAATAAAAAAATCTGCCAACTAATAAAAAGCAAAATAACAAATCCTCCGAACTCCAAGGAAAATTCAAAACGGAAAGTCCCTTATCAAATTGCAAAATCAAAAGTTCAAACACATCGAACGAATGGAAAAAGACTTGGTACAGGCATTTCCTTATGTAGAAAAGGCTGTCAGTGCCTGGCACAACAGAATATTTTGCCAAATGAAAATAATTTTATTTAGAACTGTTGAAGTTATAACAAGAGAATATTGCTATTCTATGCATGTTAGAAGGCTTACAGTATATTGTGAGGTGGAAGATACTTGTATGATATAAGTTAAAATTGATAGTTTTACAGATAAACTATTATTTCAGATTGTAATTATAAGTGGGCATTTCAAGTTCTATCTATTACTAGTGTACTGTAATATTTTAAACTTTAGATTTCTGAATGTAAATACGCTATTCACCTGGTGGAGGATTAGACCGTTCTTTTTTACTATTATTAAATTAACTGGCTTTCCAAGTGCTCTAATATGGTAGAGATCTTCGAAAGAAGAAGAAGAAAATGACAGGCGACCCTCTTAATATCAGATTTTCCCGCATATAACAAATGACAAACGAAGTTCGTTGATAGCAAATCCGTTCGTGCTTGCCGCTGACGATATATTTCTACAAAAAGACGAAAAAAAAACAAAAAATGTGTAAATATGCTAACACTAAATTTTTGTTAAACTCATGCTTGAGAAGAAAACAACAAACTATTAAATATTTTTCCCGAATTTTAAATTCCATTTGCAAGACGGTTAGTGAAACATGAAGAAAAAGTTTTGCCTACCCTGCCGGATCACATGAGATCCTTCTTAGTTTTTGTCAGGGTTCGTCTTTTTCAGGATTTAGTTTCTATGTAGTGTTAAATATAACATTGTTTGTCTTCTCGTCGTTTTGTGTTTTTGACATGGTGTTATAGGTTGTTTTGGTAAAGGAAACACCAAAAATAATTTAGATATTTTTTTTTTCATTTCAAACATACTTTACGATTTTTAATGTTTAACCTTTTTCTTTTATCATTCCATCAAATATGAATAAATCATCTTAAATGTTCGATATTTTATACTTTCAATTTCATTTAAATTGAATGATTAAATGAAAAAAAAAAACATAATGTAAGATATTGAATATCAAAAGTGTAATTGTTTTTTAAAAGGTATATATTTAAAACAAAACCGGTTAACAGTATTTTTTGGTGAATTATTTATTCATTGAATATACAAACCAACTTTTAAAAAATGAGGGAATCGCATGAACTTCAAATTGAGCGAAATCGGCTGAATGGACAGGTTAAGTGTCTCATACAATGCACACATTAGCCGCCATACAAATCAAGACAGGCCGTACGGTTGCCTATAATTGATTACATCCACTTTATTTGAACTTTGGTGGATAGTTGTCTCATTGGCAATCATACCTCATCTCCTTATTTTTATATAGTCGTAATGCAAATCAAGTTAAAATGTCTCGAAAGTAAACAATAATAGGTACAAGTAGACGATTATTCATATATCTAAGTATCTAAGACCCAAAAACATGCCTTTAGTGAGTTGTAACACTTACACCTAGATTATTTTAACCAATATTTGATAATAGAGACGGTGAAACAGTCGTTATTCCTCATAGCCCAACAGTTTTTGTAGTAGAAATACACCCTGTGACTGAAGATCTTATAATGTGTCATTCATTCTCGTTTAAGTTGTCCAACTGTATCATTTTCTAGAATGAAGCAAAGTGATGATTTTCTAAAAATTGTTTGAAATTTCACAGTGATATCATACTGTAACTTTCTTTAAACCTGTTTATTTACTTTTGACTTTAATTATTTATCCCTTGTAATTTTTTATTAACTGTGTATTTGCATTCAGGTGTCACAGGTCAAATTTATTCGTTCATTGTGTGTTAATATTTGCGTTTTTTGATTGAGTTAAGCCTTCCAATTGATATTTTATAGTGTGTTTTTCTATGTTGTGATGTTATACTATTGTTTCAGAAAAGGGAGAAGGTTTGGTACCATTAAAACGTTTAATCCCGCTGCAAATGTTTGCACCTGTCCTAAGTCAGGAATCTGATTACAGTAGTTGTCGTCTTTTTATGTAGTTCATACGTGTTTCTCGATTCTCGTTTTTATATAGATTAGACCGTTGGTTTTTCCGTTTGAATTGTTTTACGCTAGTAATTTTTTGGGGGCCCTTTATAGCTTGCGGTGTGAACCAATGCTCCGTGTTGAAGGCCGTACCTTGACCTATAATGGTTTACTTTTATAAATTGTAACTTGGATTGATAGTTGTCCCATTGGCACTCATACCACATCTTCCTATATCTACAGACTTTCTTAAGTTTAAATTCACTGGTATAGTCATAGAAATACGAACATCACAGCTTCATTTCTAAAACTTAAGTTTTAAGAATATGTCAGTTTAATCAGAGTACCTAGTATATTAATTAATTGTAATGCTAAATAATCATCCTCCATGCATTAATAAGATTTTAACCAACTGAACACAGCACTATTAGTTTTTTATAGTATTTAAAATGAGCGTTTCTGGTGAAGGAAGACCAGCTCTTCGAATTCATGACATTCATCAAGTGTTATTTTCATCTATTTAGGTTATAAAAATTAATGTTTAGTTATGATTCATGTGGACACGTTTTACAGAATAATTTAACATTGTCTAAACGCTTTTCTTGATTAATCTTCATCCGGAATGCTCAATTTCAAACATTTATAAACCAAGGATGCACAACTACTTGAATGCGTCAGGTGCTATATGACCAAACGGGACCTTTAAAAGAATAGCCAAAAGTAAGTTGCTTTTTGCTTGAGGGAGTTGGAACTTTAGTATATTTATATTTTCTGTATTTATCAAATGATTTTTAAGAACGGTATGTCAAAACACTAGGGATTTTCTACACCAGGAATATAGAACTGTAGCTGTATTTGGCTAAACCTTTCAGAATGTGGATCCTCAATGCTCTTCAAAATCATACTTTAGTTGGCCGTTTTAACTTATTCGAGTATCACTGAAGATTATTTTGTAGGCAAAACGCGCGTCTGGCATACAAATTTCAGCCTGGTATCTATGATGGTAGTATTATTATTTATTGTCAGTATCAAAGCAGACACTACTAAGTTTGTGATACCTTCGGAGGACAGCATTAAGCCAGCAGCGGTATCGACCCAGTGCTAGAAAATGAAAATAACTATTTACAAATTAGGTGCGTTCGCAGTGCTCTATGGATTTTCCTTTATCAGGAACGCTTATACTCAAATATTTCAAAGTCAAGGATGTATAATTACATGAATACACGAGAAACTATATGACCAAAAGAGACCAGAGAGAATATAAAAAAATCAACCGAAGTTGGAGTATAGATTTAAAAAAAAAACTATATTTTAAGACTAACAATATATATATATTAAATTCTAGCAACAGATTCGTGCATGCCAGCATAGCAGTCTAAAATGATGTTGTGTTTACACTAGAACTACACTGAGTTATTCAGATTAAAAGTTTAAATACGTTCATACCTATTACAAACTTGACATGAGCAACACGACGGGTGCCACATGTGGAGCAGGATCTGCTTACCCTTCCAGAGAACCTGAGATCACCCCCAGTCTTTGGTGGGGTTCGTGTTGATCAGATTTTAGTTTTTTATGTTGTGTTTTGTATACTGTTGTTTGTCTTGGTCGTTTTTCGTTTTTTTGCCATGGCATTGTTAGTTTGTTTTCGACTTATGACTTTGATTATCCCTTTGGTTTCTGTCGCCTCTGTTTTATATACTAGTATTCTTACGAAAAGACAGTGGTCTAAACAGAGTGCTGCTGTTGAACTTGCAAGGTTCTAAATCTAGTTCTGGCATCCGAACTTGCAAAAGAAACCTTACGAATTTCGCTTTATATCTGCATCTACTTAATGTCCAATAACAAATCGTTTTTTTAACTATTTATCGTTTATTTGCCATGTGATTAGGGACTTTCCGATTGAATTTTCCTCGGAGTTCAGTATTTATGTGATTTTACTTTTTCGTTCAACAGAGAAAACAAAAATCCGCCTTGTAACAATTGATGCCAAGCTTTTGTAAACCGCGGTAAAAACAATATTGAGATTTAAAAATTTCACAAGTAAGATTTCCTTACTCAGTATACAATATTACCACATAATATAATCATACAGAAATCTCCCCTTAAGGAACTGGTCATCCGATTAATCTAGGTGCACCATTGGCCAATGTCTGTTGTTCTAATGAATTCGTTTTTAATAGCAAAAGTGATTTTCGTGAGGAAAACAAAAACAGAATCGTGCTTGAAAAGATATAGTTTTTTATTTGTTTGTTTCAAATAATTTCAAAATTGTTTGCTTTGAAATTTTTTGTTACGTATACTATTTAGTTCTTGTTTCTCTAAATGGGAATGATTGAGTGTTTATTCCTATACCGATGTGAAATTTACGCCTATATTGAATAACAAGCCTTCGAACATCATACTTGATTAATTTTATTTAACAATACGTGTAGATATTCAGAAGATCCTTTTTTCGAACTAGTCTTGCTTTAAATTCTAATGAAATCTGTTCGGAAGTATAACAGCCGAAGTGACGATTTAAAACTTTGAATTCGAGTCTGTTTTCATTAACTTCAAACAATTTAATATGGTATTATATAGTGTTATTTTACTTGTTTTATATAGGTTTTGTAAATACAGTTATTTTTTTCTGAATTTATTTTCAGTCTCTGTTATTGCCTGCAACTATATCATTTCGTTGATAGAGATGACAAAGGGGATTAGAGTTCAAAAGGTAGTTCGATCAGCATTATGTTTACACAATTGTACTCCCTCACAAAATGTAAACATATTTAGTCTATGTGTGCACTTATATCTTAATAATTGAATATGTGATTAGTCCCTTAGAAATTCTTTTCTATAGTTAACACATCAATCAGCCATGTTGCCGAAACTACTTTAGTCGTAGCCTATGTAAACTATTCGTCCATTTCATTGTGATATATATGTATGTGCGGTACACATGAATGAAATCATGGGGTTCCAAAGAGTAGAACATGAAAGAATAAAACAACAAATGTTTATGTTGAGATTGATAACGATTAAATACATTATTGATAATGGTGATTGATGTGTAAACTCGGCCGATTAACTCACAAACTGAATAAAAGTCATTAACTGGGCAGCTGACTCACATACTTTAGATAAAAGTCCTTTTCAGTTTGTAAGGTAATCAACCAAGTATATACTTCAATAATCTCTAGAAACGTTGATAAACGAACATTTATAGTCTCTGTTAATCGAATGATAATCTTTGTAAGATGGTCGTGCGCTATTGAGCGTGTTATATTGTTTTTTTTCTATCAAGTCAAAATATTTAAATATAGATGTTGTAATAAGTATTGTGTCGTTTGGTTGCTGTATCATTGCAATTGTCATAAACCCGCTAAACTCTTATTTTTTATACTTTACGAGAAGTTTATGATTTATTCAAAATTTTTGCCCAGTTTTTGCCGTCTTTAAAGACAAAATAACCACTCGATCATTGTTTTCTGAGTGTATGTGCATATGGTTTACAGTATGCTTATTCCAATTCCACACATGATTCTAATTTCGAGATATTCACAACTCTTTATAAGGACCTGGAAGAAATGAATCTCTTTATGTTGCATATTTTTCAAGGTCGTTAAGTGAGGTGTTCTACTGGCATTTAAAAACAATACAATGGATTTCATGTAATATTTAATTTAAATATTTTAGTATTTTCTAATCATCATCATAGTAGTTTTCATTGAGTAATAATACCCATGAAATGTATACCAATCTATCCCAGTGGCATATTCATCATGATGGCCATGATAATAAACTCCATTTAAATTTGATCTGTGGCAGGCATTATACCACCATGCACCTTTATAAAGTACGGCGCAATTAGATCCATGACGGTCATTATCTCGGTCAAAAGTAGTGAACTTGTACCCATTCTGTGTTGTCAAAGAATCACCTGAAATTGAATAGAGCTGTCTATTGTTACTGATTTAGCATCTTATTATATTCTTATATATTGTTATTGTGGGTTATTATTTTTCAGTTGCTGGTTGCGTTTTAAAAAATCTGAAACAAAAGTAAACAATATAACAACGACTAGTCACCATTACAAAACTAATTCATTGAATTCTTACAACTTAAATCAAAGTAAAGGAGATTAAAGGACAAGGTGTATTATACCACAAACTTTACGAAATCTCAATGCAAGTAATACTAATCAGCTTTATGATTTTTGTGTCGTTTGCTTGCTGTCTCGTGAACGAATGTATGAAATCTTTGTACAATTATATATAGCATTAGAGTCTATAATTCGAGTATTACAACCATCAATCAATCAATCGAGTATTTCAAACAGTCTTTTTGAATTTTCTTTAGATTTCGGTATTTTTGTTATTTTATTTTTTTCTTGGTAAAGAAACAATCATTTGTTAATCTGAGCATAGTTCTAAAACTTTATATCATGGTATGTAAAAGTAATCACATAAGAATGAAAAGTGATATGAAATCTTTTTCCGGCAATCTGTGAAAAAAAGCGTTGTATGCCAACAAAATGCAGTTTTTTTGGTAAATGTAAACACGTCGTAGTCTATTAGGAATTGCAACTCATTCATTGGATTGGTTAATGAACAAGGTAACATCAACTGACTATTATGTAAACAAACAATTATAACTTGCAGGAACACTACATGCTAAATAATACACACCCGTATACGGCAGAGTACCCGACCTGTTCAATGTGGAGTTTTTTCCGTGAGTTTTTTTTTATTTATATTATATGGCCTAGATAGTCAAAAAGAGGGTTTCGTGCACATGAAAAGTTTTGATATTGAATTCTTTTGAAATGTTTCACATTTTGTAATGATGGGATATTTTAGGTTTACTATACGGTATACATTGTGCTCTTTGTGGAAGGCCGTGCATTTCCATACATTCTGGTCCTTTGATATCTCATAAATTATTGTCTTATTGGAAAGCATATCATACCTTTTTATATTTTTATAAAATATATATATCGTGTGCAGATTTTGACCTTGGTTAAAACATGACTTAAATTATCTTCAAACATTTTTTCTACTTAGAAAATTTTTCTATTTGTATCTCAAGATTAAAAAAATATGTTCATGCTTAGTAACAGTGACGTCCTTTCGTATTACTACCCAGTGAATTCAGTGTTGGATCTATACATATTAAGTTAACCAAATGACTCAATATCTAAAAAAAAAAGTCTATTATGTATAGACATATACAATACTGTTATCAATATTATTTGGCTTATATATGATGTATAACATACCTGCTGTTCCATCATATTTACTGACCATCAACCGATAACCATTATCCTCAGTAGATATATGAAACGATAGATATTCGGCAAACTTTGTTACCCCAGTAAAATCTGTCAGAAGTATCATCAAGGCATGGTTTGCATCTGCTGTCAGCTCATGAATGTTGTCATTCCCTGTAACATACATATATATATGATTACACAACTTATACAGAAGTGTCATGATTTATCATCAAACAGTTCAGGTTTTGGCAATTAAACCAGAAAAAGACAAATTGCCAAACAAAAGCAGTGATGAAGTATTAATTGTTAACATATGGACACAATTAAGATTTCATTCCAAATCCATAACTATAAAACATCTTCTGAAACTGTGATGCATCTGGAAAATTTGAGATAATGACACTATTACTGTTTTATCAAAACTGATTGCACTTTATAAAACTAGCGACAAGATAAAATAGTTATTTATTATTTCTACATGTTCTATGTTAATGAGATGTAGTCTATATATAATAGATATAGATTCTACCACTACATCGATTGTAATACGATATTTCTACACTTATATCGTATCACACGAGTTTTAGTGATGGAATCTGTTTAATGATTTTAGAATACATGCAGACAAATTTTATTTTCCTCTTCAATGATCTACAAAAAGATGTGTTCTTTAAATGTGACGTCATCAGGCATGGTCTTTTTTTTTTCGTGGCGTCACAATAGGAAATTAAGAGGAAAGCTTCAGAATTTGACGTCTTAATTGAATTTTGAACAGAGATCAAACGAATCATACTTTGATTATACAAAAAATAATTAACCAATTGGGAAAAGTATAAATCGAGTAAGAATTAGAGAAGCTAGATCATCTGCATTTTTCATTACCTATGCTAATGATATCTCAAAGAAAAAGGGATAGTCAGGAAATTGATAGTAAAATGTTCTAACTTCTACATACAGACGTTTCATGAGATCAACTCGGAAAGATAATAACATTAAAGATACTTCAAAATAAACAATGACGAGATTAAACAGTTAACATACAACACAATCAAACCAAAAGAACAACCCCAAAGTATTTGAATTCAGATATACATCTGAAATTTATAGCCAAGCATCAAAACTGTATGTCACGAGCCGACATTAATACTGAAGGAGTTCAGTGTTATCTGACGAAGATACTTTGTCAATAAATAATCAGTAAATGAATAAAACGATTGACAACTAATTAAGACGAACAACGTAAAATACACAGAAGACCACACGGCAAAATAATATAAGTTAGGGGGAAAAAAATAACCGAAAAGCTTTGGTCAACAGCAAGCGTAAAGTATGAAGTTATGAAGACGAATTTTCAACAAGATGTCATAGGCATTTGACTAGTCATGTTATGTACCTATATCAAATAAAGGCAACAGTAGTATACCTCTGTTCAATAGTCACAAATCGATTAAGCGAAAACAAATCCGTGTCACAAACCAAAACATTTACATTGGCTATATAGTTTTGTTGAATAGAGTTGAAATAAATATATTTTTAATTTTTAACAGCATTACCATTAACAACACAAGCTGGCTTTCATATGTTAGGGTTCGAGCTATCCTGATGACGATAAGTCCAAAAAGAGCACTTCGGACGCACGAAAGTTATAAAGTGTTATTTGCAATTACTAACACTGCGTAGATACGACTGCTGGTGGACTGTTTGTCCTCGAGAGTATCATCAGCTCAGTTGTCAGTCCTTCGTAACTGACATTACATATATCTATTTTTCTAAAATTTTCTTCTTTAAATTAAGATAAGAAATTACGAAAATAAGGTTCGAACTCTCTGAAGCAAAGTTGACCTTTAAGTTAGATGAATGTGGCTATTCTTATTAGGTCCATATGGCTGATAAAGCTTCTTGTCTTTATACTCATTTATACATTGCCGGAATTCGTGTGTTAAGGTTAGAGCGTTCCTGGTGAAGGTAAATCCAGATAAGCGCTTCGGACGCACACAATTCATAAAGTGTTATCGAACACATTAATATTCTTCCCTTCAATGTTTGCTGGTAAGATCTTTTTGTATTCACTTCTCTTCAACTGACTATTTTATTGTCCCTAAACACTTATTCTCTTTCTACGTTTATTTTACCTAACCAATATTCTTCGTTAGCTTGTCCAAATCCAGTTTTGTATGCTTGCCAGTCTCTATAAAAATTTACTGATCCATTGATTCTTCGTTGAATAACCTGAAATGATGTTATCAAGTTTATTTATTGATCAATATTCATGACAAACGGATGTCCTTTTTAAGGGTACTCGCCTTCTACACACGTCAATCACTTAAGTTTTACTTTTTATGTATAATTTTGCAAATGGCAAACAGTATTTTGCTTTATAATCGTTGATACATTATTTTTATACTGTAGTATATATATATTATTTTAAGTTTAGTTTACATATATACGTCACTTGGTTGAATCTATTTTAACAGATTTGAAAAAAAATTTGAATGAAACTACGGCTCCATCTCCTTTAGGCAAATATATATAAGAAGATGTGGTATGAGTGCCAATGAGACAACTCTCCATCCAAGTCAAAATTTATAAAAGTAAACCATTATAGGTCAAAGTACGGTCTTCAACACGGAGCCTTGGCTCACACCGAACAGCAAGCTACAAAGGGCTCCAAAAGTTACTAGTGTAAAACCATTCAAACGGGAAAACCAACGGTCTAATCTATATAAAAAACGAGAAACGAGAAATACTTATGAACCACATCAACAAGCGACAACTACTGAACATCAGATTCCTGACTTAGGATAGGTGCAAACAATTGCAGCGGGTTTAAACGTTTTAATGGTATCAAACCTTCACCCTTATATGAAATAATAGTGTAATATCACAACATAAAAAGACACACTATAAAATATCATTTGAAATGGCTTAACTCAATCAAAAGACATATTAACACCAGTGAACATACACTGAACAAATAAATTTGATCTATGATACAATGTAAATACAAAATAAATAAACTAAGGGAAGAATAATTAAAGTAAAATGTTATACCGCTGTGAAATGTTAAACAATTTAAGAAAACGATATGCTTGAACAAAAATATCAGCCATTTGCAATTACTTTTAACACAGGTAAATGAAAATAACTTTGTATACGTGTACAGTTCAAATGGAGAAAGGAAATATTTTTACAAAATAAATAATTTTAATGTTCATAGTACGAAGAAGTGAAAATTTATAGTAATACCAAACACTTATCAAAGCGTGTATATAGACCAGATATAACCCTGAATAACATTTAATAACAAAAAAGCATTACAATTAGTATCAACAGGTCAAATAAACAAGAAAGTACGATATGAGAGTACTCGCAGTTACTGACAGCTAGTTAAAAGCCAAAAACAATTAATAATAAAAAATCATGAATCAGAGACTAAAATCAACAAGTTGGCTTTTACATTTAGGTGACTTTGGTCATATAACTCTTCATGTTTTTGCGGTACTTATACATCCTTGGCTTTCAAATTCTGGCTTTGACAATGAAGAAAAACAACACTTTGCGTTCATCAAGAACGTTAAAAACTAAAAAATGTGAAAGCCAAGAATGAATAAATACTGGAATACTTGAGGTCCTATATGACAAAATTGACATAGAAATAAATCAATTAAATAGAAAAATTTTCATTCATTAAGACTAAAGTCTCGTTAAATGTACAAATTAAAAACTTACAGTCCAAGTATGCAAACTTGAATCTACATAGCAATAAACAGATACAGGATGCTGCATTTGTCCATATGGGTAAATTGTATGGACGCCGCTAACAGATAATTGTAAATCGGTACATTCTCGTGGAAGTCTTGATGCTGAAAAAAATGTCCTGTATGTTTTATATAATCTTCGTCATTTGTTATAATTATGTCACTATCAAAACGTATCTTTATAAACAGATGGTATAAAATATCATTTCTTTAACAAGTAACAAGATATTGTCTTTAGAAATAGTGTGAAGAAACTTTTATGTAAATGTATGACCCCAAAATATTAAGGAAAATAATTACACGTTGAGTTGGAATTATTGTTTCATAGCTTATTATTCCAGATTTGTTATCGCTATATACGACTGATTTCTGATGACGGCAGTGCATACTATTGGTCTGCATTATGTGTGCTATTAAAAACACTAAATGGTAATTATCCTAACTTGAGTTATACAATGATACAGTGTACTTACGCAATTGGCCAGAATTTGTGCAATTCAAATGATCATTACATAGTCTGGTATCGCAGCAAAGTGTGCACTTCACATGATGACCTTCTGATCGGCGTCCCAGTATCGAACCAGCCGAATTGCTACAAGCCTTTTTCGATACAAAAACAAATGAATTCTATCTATTTTTTTTAGGGGATATAGAAATTGAGTTTATGTTTTATGAATGCAATTTTAATTTAGTAGATTTTGCGAATAATGCACCTTTCTTTTCAACAGTTAAATAGTTTGAGTGCGTGTTCAGTAATTACTGCGAACGTTCCTTAATACCGTATATTTTTTCATTCGTTTTGTTTGTTTTGGTATCTATTATAACCTTATTTAAGAGTTGAACGTTTTTCATGTGCTGGTTTTGATGTTCTTTTATCTGGATTTTGTTAAACTTCTGATTGAGATTAATAGAAAAAGAGTGTTCAAATCTCACAAGACTAGTTTAACCCCGCCACATTTTTATTTGCCTATAACAAGTCCAGAAAGTTGTCAGTTTTCGTATGTCAAGTCTTCATGTTTTTCGTTGCAAGTGGGATGCAGGTGCATATTGCATTTTATTGTTAAGGTCCCGCAACAAAGTTGTCAGGGCCATATAGTTTTACCCTTATCGGTCATTTCGTCATTCCGTCATTCTGTCATTCTGCCATTCCGTCATTCCGCAACGAACAGTTATACGGCGTTTTTTTTTCTAAACGTCTTCACATATTGATCTGATTTTTAGTATGTGAGTCATCTATGATGATTTACAGATCGAGTTAACGTTTGGTTCCGCTCCGCTGATTTATGCCGAAATAACGGGTTTTGGACTATGAAAATTTCATAAAAAAAACAGTTAAACAGACTTTTTTTCTAAACGACTTCACATATTAAGCTGATGTTTAGTATGTGGGCCTACTATGATGAGTTACAGATCGAGTGTTTGTTTGGTTCTGCTCTACTGATGTTTGCCGAAACAACGGGCTTTCGACTTTGAAAATTTCATGAAAATAGCAGTTATACAGACTTCTTTTCTAAACACCTTCACATATTGAGCTGATTTTTAGTACGTTAGTCAACTATGATGAGTTACAGATTGAGTTTACGTCTGGTTCCGCTCCACTGATTTACGGCCACTGTACTTTGAACATTTCGTGAAAATAACAGTTATACGGACTTTCATTCTCAAATTTTTGCTCCTAAAAATGGCTTCAAGCTTTTTTTGCGAGCGGGGCCATTCGTGTCGTTCCGACACATCTAGTTTCTGTTAAATCTATTCACAACTTTTACAGAGTCTAAACGATTTAGAGCTTGATATGCTGTATAAACGTCAGTCTATTATTTTCAAATGTTTGTTGCAATTGTTATGTTTTTCTCGATACTTGTGTAGTTATAAATGCTTTCTTGTAGTAAAAATTCCCTAGCATGTGTAAATTAATACTCAGTATAAAACACCTGTAACATATAAAAATAATGAGATGGCTATAATTGCCAAAAAGGAAACTATCCAAAAGATCCAAATGACGTGGATATAACCAACCTTTTGGGGTGTCTTTTTTAAGTATTAAATAGTACAGTATATTTTACCAGTGATGAGCCACATCCCAAATCAAACTCTTCAGCACCGGATTCGGTAACAAAGTTGTGCATATAGCATACCTACAATAAAAACAAATATTACTTAAAAGTATAAGTCTAAAAAAATGACCTTTACTCATTCGATGTAAACTTCCCATCAAGGCGTAGCACAATTACATATTTGAAAAAAGGAAAAATATACCAAGGGGTCAATCAAAAACCATATGTGTAATTATGCCAGTGCCGATGTACTTGCCACTGAGTATTTTCATAGATATACTGCTATATCATTATTAAACAAGAGCAGTAGAAAATATTCCTGAATCGATTACGAACTGACAACCTAATGGCAAAATACGACTAACGAAAAAAACAAATAACAGTATACATCACAACATAGGTAACGAAAGACTGAGCAACACGAAGCCCATTAAAGCCAGATCCTGTTCTACATGTGGCATTCGTCGTTCTGTTCATGTCAGAACTGACTCGGTAATAAATCTAATTCGGTATTGTCACATACCAGGAAAAGAAGACAGAATTCTGGTCACGACAATTGGAACATATCTGTCGTCGACTTAAACAATTTGATCCAAAACGGTCAACCAACTCGTGAAAAGAGTCCATAAATGTTTTGAAGGGGTGTCTTTAACTTCACTACTTTGAACCCTTGGTGAATTTACTCCCTAGTAAACAGAATCCCTCTATCAAGGCAATCATGATAGAAAATGCAAGCCCTGTAGTATCGTATCATCTCGCTGTTGTTTTCAATGTTGTATTTCATACTTATCTATATTTCAATGACCGGTAAAAGTCTCGTTTATCCGCTGTTGTAAAATGCTTATCACTGGACATCATTCATCGCTTTCTTTTTTTTAAAAAAAGTAACACGACAGAGTGGCACAGGATCTACTAACCCTTCCGGAGCACTTAAGGTCACCAATCCGTTTTAGTGGGGTTTGTGATCTGTCTATATTTTTCCTATTGTTATTTATCTTTCGTCGATTTTCTGTGCGGCTATGTTTTTTTTCCTGTTTTTTAAAACTTTTTTGTTACTTTTTTAATGCCCTTTAGTATCTTTTCTTTCGTTCTTTGCAATCAACATAGTCACCAAATTTGAATTATATAATGAAAGGGCGTAATTAATATAGCGAAACATGACATTAAAAGTAATTGACCGCTTCCTTTTATTCTCATGAAGAAGCTTCTGTATGAAATCATCTTCACAAGAATGGGAACAGGTCGACAGGAAGAGAGGTACAGTTCCCAAAGGAATAAAAACTTACCAATTTATTTTGCTGATTACTTTAATCTAGTACTGTCAGTGTTATCTTTTTTTTTTTTGCATTGAAATGAGAAAATTGTAACAATCAACCACGACATTCATAAGTGCATTGTTTTTTTTTTTAATTGTCAATGTAGATCCGAACCAAAACATAATCAAATATAACTGACCTCACCATCATTACACTGTATACGATGGTTACACTCGCTACTGGTTTCAACTCCACTGCAGGACCAACATTCTTGTTTACACTCTATCAGGAGACACAAAAAGTCATAAAGTTGTCAAACTGGATTTCACTGTCATTAACAATTCCAATTCCGAACTTTGTATGAAAACTGTAGGAGTGGGATATGAATATTTTTTTGAAGTTTATCCGAAGTTTCGTAATTAATCTTAATAGTAATTTTTTTGGAAAAAAAATTACTTTATGTCATGCTTTCTTGAAATATATATAACAAGTGCATATAAATTTTCGTGCTTGTTATCAAGATACGCAATATGTATATATTGTAAAAAAAACAATTACGAAAAAAAACCATTATTCTGTGACCAGCAAAATATCGACATGATAAATTTTGAAACAAAATATGAGTAAATAACTCTTACAAATTGTTTTCAACAATAAAAACAAATTCAATCACCTAATCCTTTCTCTGTTGTTGTTGTTGTTTGTGTTTTTTGTTTGTTTGTTTATTATATAACAAAATGATAAAAATAAACAGTACATATTTAATAAAGCTATTATATCTGTTTGATATTACCTTTCCAATTCTTTATTGAAAAAATTTAAATGAATCAAAACGTTTACTGTATTCAGTGCAGCAAAAATGTTTCTGCCATCAGACAGAATCATATGAATTTATAATCTAAATGATTCGACCCCATAAAATCCCATTTCTTCATTAATTTGTTTGATGGTTAAATATGTTCAACGTTATATATCTGCAATAAATACATACCTGTAAAGGATATGAGAAGCACAAAGACAGACCATTTGACTGAAAAATATAGTAGATCCTACAGCAAATGCTTTAAATCAAATATCTCAATAGATCAGAACAGATTGAAAATAAATAATACTTGGGAATTGGTGTCATTTATGACTTCCCTAAGCTCGTGAATAAAAGTGAGTTCAATGCAATTCTTATATAAAAAAACTTCACTATTTTTGTACCAGTTCCGTTAGCTCTATACATGTCTTAAAATATTCTAAGCATTGTATTTTAACCACAAAACAGTTGCATTATATGTTCATGTCGAAAGTTTAATATTTTACTTTTAATGTTTCAAAAGAAATCATTTAGTACCGGTCCAAAATTTAACGTGATATTCAAGGTAAACGCTATTTTACTTACTAAAATTTCAACAGCATTTCTGGAAAAAAGGTGCATATGCGTTGTTTTATACATGACATAAGCTATATTTGTTAATCATACAATTTTTGGACTTGGTGCTACACTCAAATCCAAGATGCTTGCTATGCTGTGGAACATAGTTAAATCGATAAAGTTAAATACTGTAAACCAACCATTTTACGAGCGATTTATTTTCGCGACTTTTGCTAGTAGTAAAATAACGCGAATATCAATCGTGGCTAATATTTAAATCTTTGATCATTCCTTATTTTTAAAACTACATCAAATAAATTTGAAAATCGTGAAATTGAATCGTCGCGAAGTGGTGTATATAGAAGGGGGTAAACAAATTGATTTACAGTAAGCAGATCAGAGTCTTGTTAAAAACAACTGTTTTATATATTAAATCTTTTTAATGCAATGTTTCTCAAATTTGTTGAAATCTAGTTATGGAATTATGGAGATATGATATGAATGTCAATGAGATCACATCCACAAAAGACCCAAAGAATAAGGATGTGAGAACACAAACAATCTTATTTTACTAAGGCAATAAACGGATATCAGTTTGTCAGACAGGAATCAACGACAACCACTGGCTCCTGACCTGGGACAAGCACATAAAGTATTTGGCGTGGTAACCATGTTTTGGAGCACAGTTCAACAGTTCATGACAGTGCTATAACAGCACAACATAAGAACATATTAAACTTTTCTTAAAATCTTGAATCAGTTCAATCTAGCTAAGGTTTCCCATTTACCTACCTCCTAATCATAAATAAAAAACGACAAAACAATACAATCTAATTTTCTACGGCATAAAATCGAGCTGATAATGCTTTACATATACGTTGTTGTACCTTATAATCAAACTATAAACATAGTTATGTATGACAGATTGAAGCAAAGATATACTGACTTACGCATTTTCTCAAACTTCCTATTTCATTCAAGACCTCAAGCGATAAGTTGGCTTAAATGAGATAAGATAGTACACATAAGTATACATGTACAATTTGATAGATTACAGGCAATACAATATGTGTTGGTTATTATTAATTTAGTTTTCATTTTCAAATCCCCGATCATTTTCCTCCTTATACGTCAAATTGTCAATGGATGAAAGTAACACAGTAACACGTCTTTTTCTGTGTATAAGTCTCATCAATATAAAGTCGCACAACAGTGCTTTAACAGAATCAGTGTATATACGTAGAAGTTATTGTAGAACCATGTGATCAAGAACAACAGTAGATTTATAAATGTGGTACCGGAATCTCCAAGATGAAATTGGTCATTTATTGAATGATATTGAGACTTCCGAATTATTTGGTTAATGCTATGCGACACTTTTTCATATTTCAGTAAAGTATTTAAAAGAGAGACAAAAGATACCAACGGGACATTCAAACTCATAAGTCATTTTAATCGTAACAGTTTTTTGCAATAAAAGATGCAGCCTTGTCAGAACTGTATCAAGATTGCCATATATTTTTTTTATAGATACAGAACTCGCAAGATCCGCATATATTTTTACAAAAAAAGATGAATGCAGAATTCTGTTCAGAACGTTTACTATCAAGTAAATGTTACACACTTATCTGAATTCCGTTAAGATCTGCATCTACATGAGAAAAATCGAGTAACTTATCAGAATTCTAGGCCACAATGTTATACTGTTTTCCTTCGTCATGTGCTTTTTAACCTATTTTCTGTTAAACTGTTGGGATACATCCTCCTCAATTCCCATCTCTTAGTTTTAAATTTGGTATTTTTTTATCATATAACACAAGTTGTAAAATAAACCACTACACTTTACGCTCTTTCCGCTGTTATTTACTGGTAAAAACATCCAACTACACGTTTTGTGAAAATATTAACTTACATTGCATCAAAGTCTTTTGTAGTCTCTTTCTGCTATATCTAAACTTTATATAGGCTTACAAGGAAGAAATTTCAGTAAAACAAACTGTTGACAAAGAGATAGGTCTCGCCTATCGGCATAAAATTCAGAAAGAGACAATCTGATGGACAGTAACATTGCTTATTAATTCAGTCACTGAACCATGATCTAGTTGGCAGGGGAGAAACTGAGATGTACAGACAGTAATGTAACTTTATAGAACATAACGTTGTTTATTGTAAGTAGTTCCTATCAATATAACTTAAACTGATAAACTTAACAATGAAAATTGCTATTAAATTCAAAGTCACTGGACCATGACAAAGGGGACAGGGCCTCGAAACAGTCGTCAAACTGATATGAACTGATAGTATTGCAACTTCATACAAAACATTATTGATCCATCACAAGTAGATCCTATCAAACTAACTAAAGCAGAATACTTAACATTGAACATGGCTAATTAATTCAAAATCACTGAACCATGACCTAGGGGACAGGGCCTGAAAATAGTCGTCAAACTGATTGTACTGAATGTAATGTAACTTTAGAGTTATCATTGATCTTTGACTTTTGTAAAGAAAGTTCCTTTTTTCTGACTTCATGTTCGTTCTACGTTATTTTCTGCAACTTTGACATTTCATTGATAGAAATTGAAAACGGGATTAGAGTTCAAAAATTCTTTCGACCCGCATTATGTTTACACATTTGTACGTCGTCCAAAGAGGTCGACCTATTAAGTTAATGTCTATACTTATATCTTAATAACTACTATATGACTTATATATCTACAAATTCTTGAATACAGTTTGTCCCTATGATTTGTTTTCCTGGATAGCACTTCAATAAACCATCTTGCTGAAACTACTTTCGTTATCTATGTAAACTCCAGGTCGATTTGACTGTGATAAAAATTAATACACAATACACATAAATGGAATTATGAGTTCCAAAATGTTGAAATTGAAAGATGTTTGATTTCAGTTTCATGACAATTAAACACAGTTTTTATAAATGCTATTGATTTGTAAACTGGTCCGCTGACTCACAATCTTATTTGTGAGTTAATCGACCCAGTTAATGCATCAATAACCGCTAGCAAAATGTGTGTTATCCTATAATATTCTGTTGTGTTCTGTAGAGAATTTGACGTTGATGACCGATCTTCTACAGCCTCCGTTAATTGATTCGTAATCTAAGTTTATTTTAGAGCGTGCGCTATTGAGTTTCCTCTGTTTAGCATACTTGTTTTTTTATCGAGTCAGAATATTAATCAATAGATGTCTTTCAGATTTTTGTGTTGTCGGGTTGCTTTTTCATAATCATATACCCTCGAAACTCTTATGTTTTTTTCAGAAGTGCTGTTTCTTAGATATCATACATTTAACCAATCATTGGTATGTGCGGGTTTGTGCATTCATTTTACAATATGTGCTACCAATAATACACGTGATTTTGATTTCAATATATTTAAAATTCTTTATAAGAAATGCGTCTCTATATGTTGTATTTGTTTTTACTGCCGATAAGTGAATTGTTCTACTGACATATTAGATTTCATGTAATATTTAATATAACTATTTTCATATTAGTATTCTCTAATCATCATCATAGTAGTTTTCATTGAATAATAATATCCATGCCATGTTTTCCAATCTATCCCAGTGGCAAATTCATCATGATGGCCATGATAATAAATTCCATTTAAATTTGAATTGTGGCAGTCTTCATACCACCATGCACCTTTATAAAGTATGGCGCAATTAGATCCTGAGCCGTCATTATCCCGGTCAAAAGTAGTGAACTTGTACCCATTATGTCTGATCAAAGAATCTCCTGAAATTGAAATGAGAGTAATTTATTACTGATTAAGCATCTTATTATATTCTTATACATGTTTTAAGATCTTCTTATATCTATTTAAGCATGAATAATATCTTTGATTTAAAATCATCCGGAATACATATACCGTAATCAGTTTAGGGCAGCTGACAGAGGGTTCCCTGTTTTTATTACATATCCCATTTGCCAGGGAAAATACGAATGGGTGAAACAAATACTCTCTACATAATATATTCTATATAATTACTAGTATCTGTTTTCAATTAGTATTCTACACATCTTGAAATCTTGCATTTTCATATGACTTTGTCCTCTTTAAATACAATTATAAAGATATGAATAACTGTTATATATTTTTTGGTCCTTCTAACCATTTGTAATGATTAAAGTTCAAATCCTATCTCGTGTAAACAACAGACCACCAATTATGAAATCTTTTGTAATTTAAATTGTGTTCCCGGTAAAATGCCTGTTAGATATTAACATCGACTTGACACGTGATTCAAACACGTTAGAATTTTTGCTGAAGGATTATTTGTGAAATTAATGTATGTGCACTTATGAAGAAACACAATCTGTGGTGAGTAGTATGCTCCAGAAGGATAAGCATATCCTGCTCAACATTTGGCACCCGTCGTGTTGCTCATGTTAGTACAAAACCGGTAATAAGTCTAATTCGGTAGTCACATTCGGGAAAAGGTGACGGGATTGAAGTTACGACATTAGGAACATATCCGCTATCATTTGTGAAACGGATATCCCATAACGGTCATCCAACTCGTGATGGCGTCCATAAAACTTACGAAGTGGTGATTTCAACTTCACCTCTTGGAACTCTTGGATTAAGAGCTTCCTTTTAGCAGCAACCCTCTATCAAGGAAATCATGATAGGAAATACAAGCCCTGAAATATTTATCAACTAGGAGATATATACTCCATATGCAGGCGCTGCTGGAATGTTGCTACATAGAAATGGAAAGCTCACAATTGGGAAGCTGAAATCATCTCTTTTTTCGTAAAGTTTTGTTTTCAACCGACCCTCACTGCAATTGCTAGATGTAAGTCAAGATATGAGGCAGACTTAACTGTATATGTTGCATCCTTTATCTCAATTTCGAGTGGATAGTTCAATAAAGTCACCAAATTTTGAATTATTTAGTGAGAGAACATCATCTATATAGCGGAAAGTAAAGTTAAAGGATACTGCTAGCTTCTTTCTTTTTGCTATGAAGTTCCTGTATGAAGTCAGCCTCCTATAAATAGAGGAACAAGTCGGCAAGAAGAGAGGCACAGTATTTTCCATGGGAATGCCAATTTTTTGTTAAAAAACACGTCCTCCAAACGTAGGATTTATCCTCCCTAAGACAAGATATTTGTATCTACGTTGGCCATTCTTTTTTATGAAACAAAGCAGGACCAACTCTTTTAGTTTGTCTTTTAGTTTGGAATAGGGAATACTTGTGTAAAGTGTAGAAAAGTCAAATGTTTTTTAAAATACTATTGCAAGATGAAAGTGTCTTAGATTGTATGTACTCTAAAAGATCTTTGGAATTTTTCAATATCCACATCTCTAGAATTTCACAATAACTTTGAAGCCCGGCTTTGATTGCTGATAAAATTGATGTTAATAAGGTAGAAAGAGGTTTCGTGGAGCACTTGGAAGACCCAGCAATATACCGTGGTTTGCAAGGACACTTATTTAGTTTAGGTATCCAATCCAGTAATGGAAGATCCTGTTCTTCATCTTTGGTTGAAATTCCAAAGGAACATAGAACAGACCTATGATTATCCAGGATATCCTCTTTAGTAAGTGTCGTGGGGGTATATGTTGAGTTTCCAAGTGAATTGTTAATACCTAATTCATTTATCAAGCAGTTCAAACTTTCCCGAAAACACTATAAAAATGTCCAATATTTATTTGCGTTTGATCAAGCTCTTGATTATATCCAATAATCATATTTTGGACATCATAGTTATGCGTTATATAAATGCACAGAGATAGAGATAGCAATCCTTTTTATTTCTTCAATGATGTTTTGAATTTATAACAGAAATAGAAATGAAGTTCTTAAGTTTCCAAAAATTTGCCACATAGGTTACATAGGCCATCGGACTATCGCATTTGGTACAATTTAAATTCAGTATAATGTATATTATGAATTGGAAAATTTTGTTTGATCAAGGCAGCTTGGGTAGTTTTTTTAAACTGATTGCCAGTCTAGTTCCATTTTAAATGTTCTATTCCATTTAGTTTCACATTTTGGACTAGTACATTTATTTAGTATTTTTTAAAATATGATTTTAATTGAATTTTTTTCTGGAGAAATAAATTTTCTTTCCATATCATATATTTTGTTATTAGGGATATTTACGTGCTTTAAATTTGTTGGATTACTAATAGCGCTTCTAATTTCGTTAATCCAAACAGTGGGGAATGATTTCGTTATTAGATTGTATTCGCATATTCATTTACGTTTATTTATTAGTTTATCAAATATTATTTTATTACTATAAAATGTTTCCGTTTCGATTATCCAATCATCTTTAATATTTGGCGATTTGACTTTTGGTAAAGAAAAGGAAGAACACAGGTTTCCATTTCTATTTTATATTGTTGGTACCAAATATATTCTCTTCGGGAATACTATTTTTTAATGTTCGTCAATTTTACTATAAAGCTATTTAAAGTGCAATTTTAATCATTTTAATCATGACTATATATATATAGCTAGTCACTAGTACAAAACTATGTAAGTTAATCCACCATTTTCTGAAAAATGTCTGTACCAAGTCAGGAATATGACAGTTGATTTTCATTCGTTTGATGTGTTTGAACTTTTGATTTTGCCCTTTCATAAGGGATTTTCCGTGTTGAATAAAGAAAGTTCGGTATTTTTGTTATTTTACTTTTTTTCATACAGATTTGTACCACATTTTTAACTGTTATGGTAGCCAACATATTTCGAAGAACTGTTTTGTTTTTTATTCTTCAGATATAAGCTGAGCAATTGTTTGTAAGATAACTAAAGATTAATCAAATTGATCAACTAGCAATGAAAATCGCGATTTCTGAATTAGCGTTTTTTTTCCATGCGATTGTCAATTGAAAATAAATAATTTGCAGAAAAAAATGTAAAAAAAGAATTAGCTATTTATGATTAGATATATTATTTCATTTAAGCATTGAATCCATGTCCTGTTTTGAAGCATTTTTTTTTAGATCAACGTTAAATGGTTTAGATACTTAAATCCGCTTCATTTGGATAGTTTTCTTATTGGCAGACATACCACTTCCCTTATTCTACATAGCTGTGAATCAGATATTGTGTTCTTGAATGCAGTATCCACGCCAACAGCTGTAGATAGCTTAGCAAGCTTCCTGTTGTTATAAGAACTTTCAAATTATGCGCCGTTTTAGTTATCATTCATTATTGAGGTTATTATCGTGTGGTTTTTGTTTTACAATTTTGTAAGCATATGGCCTAGAAAGGGCAAAAAGGGGGTTGTGCGCACGTTAAACTTTTTGATATTGCAATTTTTGTTGTTGTCTGAAAGACAAGTATATAATATCTTCTTATCTTTATATAACGTTTCAACGTAACTTAGATATCGTGTGCAAATTGTGACCTTGGTTAAAACATGACTTTGATTATCTTCAAATACTTTTACCACTTGGAAATATATATAAGAATAATACATCAAAACGTTATACATATATAAACACACTTTAACTATTTTGCAACATCCGCGTACACAATTAAGTATGTGATGCAAAATATTTGCTATATACTTTTTAATGTTGATGATTAAATGATTAGCAATATTGTTCTTTGACTTCTTTCCTAATTACATCCTACTTTACTCATTGATGGATCTATATTTAAGTTAATTTGTTCACATGGACTCAGAAGAGAGGCAAATTATACAAAAGGGATATTTAAATTTGTTAGTCGAAAATGAACTGACAATTCAATGGCAAAATTCACACAATATACAACAGTATACTTAACAGGACATAGAAAACTAAAGTCTTAGCAACACGAACCCTAACCAAAAGCCGGGGTGATCTCACGTGCTCCTGACGAGTTTGCAGATCCTGCTCCACGTATGGTACCCGTCGTGGAACTCATCTAAGTAAAAACCCTGTGATTTTGTAGGTCATCGATATCTATTATGTATTGACATAGAAAACACTGTTATCAACAGTGTATTACTTGAAGAAATACATGACATACCTGCAGTTCCATCATATTTACTGACCATCAAACGATAACCATTATCCTCAGAAGATATATGAAACGATAGATATTCGGCAAACTTTGTTACTCCACTAAAATCTGTCATCAGTATCATCAATGCATGATTTGCGTCTGCTGTCAGCTCATGTATGTTATCATTCCCTGTAAACATTAGATATATATAATAGCATAATAGAAATTTATATAATTAGTCAATTTCTAAATCTAATGATATCTCAAAGAAACCGGGGTAGTCAGGAAACTGATGGTAACATATTCTAACTTGTACAAACGTTTCATCAGATCAAGGAGAGGTGGGAGATACCAAAGAAATATTCAAATCCGTATGTCAAAAAATCAACTGACGACGTAATGGCAAAAGTCGAAAAACAAGCAAAAGACAAACAACAGTTAACAAAACAAAACATAGAAAACTAAAGACTTCAACTCACAGGAAAAGTAATAACAAACTACATTAATCCACAATGACGAGACAAGACAACAAACCTACAAACACAATCAAACCAACACAACTCAAAAGTATCTGAAGGTTTATGTATGATATTTTTAGCCAACCATCCAACACGTATCTCAAGAATCAATGTTAGTATACAGTGAATTTAATGCTATCTGACAATTATTTTTGTCAATAAATAATCATCAAATGAGTACAACGATTAAAAATTAATTTAGACGAACAGCTTCAGATATTCAGCAGAACACAAGTAAAAAGCATAAGTCCGGATATAAATGACCAAACTTTTGTACTACGAATGACAAAGGGTTTGCTTACATAAACATGTTACTAGCCCAAGTAGTTGTGACCAATGCGCATGTCTGGAGTTATCGTCGTTAAGCAGCTCTAGAGCTAAAAGGTACCATACAAATTGTCTAAAGCAAGATTAAAGAACTTTATCTATTGTTATGAAAAACATGTTTTACTAGACTTCAGAAATTATCTTTAAAACATTTTTTTTCCGTTACAAAGACGAATAATCGATTAAATTTCAGAGGCATTGAATTGTCATTTTATGTACCTACATCAACATTGGTAATATTGTTTTGTTGATAAAAAGTAAAAATTAAAATGTTTTAACCGCAATACCGTTGACAACGCACTATCATCTTTTTTATAAATTACTATCAAACTGGCTTTTAAATGTTAAGGTTCCAGCGTTCGAAATAAAGGTAAGTCCTCAAAGGTGCTTCAGACGCACGACACTATTAAAGTGTTATGTTCAATTACTTCCACTGGCTCGATACCCCTGCTGGTGACCATAAGTCCCCGATGGAATCATCATCTCAGTAGTCAGTGTTTCTGTAATGACAATACTTATAGCTTTTTTTCTAAAATTCCTCGTTCATGAATTATTAACTTTTCAGGAAAATAAAGTTCCGACTCTCTCTCTCTCTCAGGCAAAGATAATGTTATAATTTTTGCACTTCTTTGTAGTTCCATTTTAGGTCATATAGCTCCTTACCTTGAGATGCATTTTTACATCTCTGGCTTTCAAATGTTAAGGTTGTAGCGTTCCTGATGAATGTAGGTTAAGAAAAGCGCTTTTAACCCACGGAATTTAGCAAAATGGTATTTTCATTTATCGATAAACTCATTATAGATATAACACATTTATCTATAAACTCGTCATAGATCGAACACATTTGATTTTTCCCTTCTTGGTTTGTCAGTGAGCCCTATTAAATTTTTATTCACTTTTCTACAAATGACTTTTCTATTATCCTCAACATATATTCCCCCTCTCTTTTGTCTTTTCTCTGGTTATTTTACCTAACCAATATTCTTCGTTAGCTTGTCCAAATCCAGTTTTGTATGCTTGCCAGTCTCTATAAAAATTGACTGATCCATTAATTCGTCGTTGAATGACCTGAAATCATGTAATCGAGTTTAATGATTGAAAGTAGTAAAAGGAGTTACATATAGATTAAGAGACACATATCGTAACTATTGATCAACATTCATGAAAAATTAATTTACAACTTAAAGGGTCATCTCCCTTAATAGACGTCCATCACTTTTTTTACTGAGTTTGAGGATGTTCGCCTCGCTGTTTCAAAATAAACAAGCTTTTAAAAGACTGTTATAAATAGATAATATTCAAATAACAGAATTTAAAAAGCAGAACAAAATGAATGGTCCGTGTCCTTGTTTTTGATATATAATCAATTGAAAATTTGGCGGGAAATTATTTTCTCTAGATTGTTTTCATATATTTAACATATGCCCCTTTTTTTCTTTCAAAAACTATTACAGAATAACAAGGATTTTATAAGATTTTCAAAAATGTTTTTTTTTAAACTGTATGTAATAAAGTTATGAAAAGAAAAGTATTAGTGGCGGGCAAAATTTTTATTGACACTACATAAAACTAGAGGATTCCGAATATCTGACAAAAGAAAAGCGAACATACTTAATATATAATTTGGCAAATGACAAACAACTTTTAACTTTATATTCGTTGAGATATTAATTTGATGCCGTAGTATTGTTTTCAGTTTAGTTTGAATATATACACCACTTTGTTGAACTTATTTGAAGACATTTGAATAAAACAGTAAAACTAAGGTTCCAACTCCTTCTGGCAAAGTTGGCCTTAGATGAATTTGGCTATTATAGTAATGTCTCTTTGGTCATAAAGCTCTTTACGTGTTTCGATACTTACACATACTTGGCTTTCAAACATTTGGCTTTGAGTGTACCTCATGAAGGTACATCCAGAAAAGTGTTTCGGACGCAAAAAAATATATTTTTAAAACCAGTTCAGGATTCAATTTCTACATCAATTTCAAAGTAGATTGTCCATTAAGATAATATATCACGGTGTAATTACAAGTAACTGAATATAACAGTTAACCTTCAGCAGTAAAGCTCAACAAATTTTTGAATACTTGAGGGCCTGTATGACAAAACGGTACCTAAAGAATAGTCAAATAGATAGGCAATTTTTATTGAATTAAGCTAAAGTCTCGTAATATCTACAAATTGAAAACTCACGGTCCAAGGATGCAAACTTGAATCTACATAGCAAAAGACAGATACAGGGTGCTGCAATCGTCCATATGGGTAAATTGTATGGACTCCGCTTACAGATAATTTTAAGTCGGCACATTCTCGTGGAAGTGTTAATGCTGAAAAGATTTCCGGGATATTTAATATAATCTTTCTCATGCTTTATAATTATGTAACTATCAAAATGTATTTATATAAACAGTTGGGATAAGATATCATTTCTTTCATAAGTAACAAAATATTGCCTCATAGTTTAAAGATCTATGGTTTTTCAGTACAAAGAATATTTTAACATATTTAGGTTTGATTTCATCAACAGAAAGGGATATTCAGATTTACTTTTAGATGAGAACGAAAAATGTGAAATATCAAAACAAACAACTCAGGGTTTATTTGATATTTTTGCAACAAAAATAAATATACATGTAAAACAAGAAGAATAGTTTCTATGCATATATTATTGTGGTTTGGAACTGAAATTTCAGAAAATAAGATTTGATCGAACTGTTTTAGTGGACTATTTTCTCCCGTCATCTTCAGATTGTATTTAAGCCTATCCGATAAAGGGAAGGTACCATAAACACATTTTAGTGCTGGAAATGTATGGTAAATAAGAATTATATATATGGTAAATAGGTTTAAATCTTAACTGCTTTCGATATATTTTACAATTAATGATACGAGAGGGTTTGACATGACAACCCCATCATGTTATTGCTATTTAGATGATAAATGATTTATTGGTTCAAATATAAACAACTGAAGATATATGTTTTTTTTTGTTGTGTTAAGCGACGACCATGGCTATATCATCACGTCCAGGTTTAATTGGTGAAGGAAGCTGAAGAACCCAGAGAGAATCACCGACCATCGGCAGGAAAACTGGCAATACATGTAAATGAAGAACTGAGTTAAACACACTTCTCTACAAGATAGGTATTTTCTTTTCAGATGTATCATCTCTATATACGAATGATTTCCAAAGTCGGAAATACATTTTAATGGTCTACGTGTATGTGTGCAATTAAAACACTAAATAGTGAACATCCTAACTTGAGCTATAAAAATATATAGTCTACTTACGAAATTGACCAGAACTTGTGCAAGTCAAATTAGCATTACATAGTCTGGTATAGCAGCAAAGTGCGCACTTCACATGATGACCTTCTGATCGGCGCCCCAGTATCGAACCAGCCGAATTACTACAAGCCTTTTTCGAAACAAATAGAAATAAATTATATCAACTTTTTTTGTTTATAAATTCATTTTTTTACATTGTGTGAAAAAAAATGCACCTTTTTATGAATATTCTGTTGTGTGTTTTTCATATACTGGTTTTTATGTTCTTTTATTTGAGTTTATTAATCTACTGAGCGATTTTAAAAGAGAAGGAGGTTGAGATCTCATAATACTAATTTAACCTATTTTCATCTGCCTTTACCAAGTCCTGAACGTCGTCAGTTTTCGTATGTCATATTTTAATGTTTTTCGTATGTGGGATGTTGGTTTATATTGCATTTTATTGGTTATGTTAAATTTATTCACAACGTTTACAGAGAGAACAATCTAGAGCTTGGAATACTGTATAATAAGCTCACATAGATACCAGACTTAAAACTGTGTATGCAAAAGACTCGTCAGTGACGCTCGAGTTAACAAAGTTAAAAAGCTAAACGAAGCACGAAGCTGAAGAGCATTAAAGACCAATATTTTCGAAAGTTTTTGCCAAATACAAATTATGTAACTTTTTTTGTAGTATAAAAAGACGTCTGTCTATTATTATAGAATTTTTGTTGTCATTTTAAAAGATGTTTTTCCCGTTATTTTTTGCTATAAAAAGCATCCTTATTTGAATATAGCAATTTTTATACAGCAAAATGATTTCCTAGCATTTGAAAATTAATTCACCGTATAAAACACCTGTATTATATAAAAATAATGAGATGTGGTATAATTGCCAATGACGCAACTATCCAAAACAGTCCAAATGATGTTTTGATGCAATCAGTTTTTATTGGGGTCTTTTTGAACTATCAAACATTACAGTTTAATATACCAGTGATGAGCCACATCCGTAATCAAACTCTTCAGTACCGGACTCGGTTACAAAGTTGTGCATAAAGCAGACCTGCAATAAAAATAAGTATTAGTATTAACAAAAAAAAACAACTATCTTGTGATAAATTTAAGTAGAGAAATAAAACGGAACAGACTGAACTGATATCCTTATTTCAAGTTCATTAGGTGCTTACCCTTCAAGAGTACCTGTGTTTATCTTTGTTATAGTTTTGTTGAAAGAGGTCGGATTGCTGATGTATTCAATGTTGTATTTAATACTTATTTATTTTTCAATGACCGGTAAAAGTCTCGTTTATCGCTCGTCATTGAAAACCATGAATTCATTTCAAACTTTCACATTAGGCAAGTTTTAGAGACTGAAAGTATGTTTTTTTTTTTGCATTATTTTGGTGTCCTTGTGTTAGACAAGAGATATTTTTCAATCCGCTATAATAAGATGCTTATCACAGGATTTGAATCATACACGTATTCTAACAAGATTAACACGAAAGGTGTCACGAATTGAGCAGGAATTACTTACCTTTCTGGAGCACTTGAGTTTACCCCTCAGCATGGTTGGGGTTCCTTTTGCCTACATGTTAGTGTTCTGTGTAAAGATTTTATTGCTGTGTGTCTTTCGTCGTTCGTTTTTTATCATGGTTTTTTTCTTAACTTTTTAGTGACTTTTGATCGTCACCTTGGTATCTTCTCTTTCGTTCTATGCAATCAACATAGTCACTAAATTTACATTATTCAGTGAAAGGGCATACTTTATATAGCGGAACTTGACGTTAAAGGTAAATTACAGCTTCTTTTTATTCTCCTGAAAATGCTACTGTATGAAATCATCTTCATAAGGATAAAAAAAAATGCAGACAGGAAGAGAGGGACAATTTGCATCCAAAGGAATGAGACATAAAAACTACTCTGAGTCTTTTTAGTTGTTTATGTAGATCGGAAATTAAAAAAAATATGAAATATAACTGACCTCACCATCATTACACTGTATACGATGGTTACACTCGCTAATGGTTTCAACTCCACTGCAGGACCAACATTCTTGTTTACACTCTATCATGAGACACACAAATAAATCATAATACTAAAAAGGACATTGTCAAACTTGAGTTTCTTGTCACAAACAATTCCATTGTTGAACTTTGTAAGAAACCAATAGTAATATATGGATATAACAGGTTTATCTAAAGTTTCGAAATCAATCTTAACTGTTATGTTTTGCTTAAAATTCACTTCTATCGTGTTTCCATCAAATATTTTTATTACAGGTATATATAAATCATCGTGCTTATTTTCAAGATCTAAGCAAAACTATATATTTTGTTAACAATATTTACGAGAAAAACAAGAAATTGAATTGGTACAATTTTGAAACAAATATTAGAGATACTGCTTACAAAATGCTTTCAGAAACAAAAAACTATTAAGTCATCATACCCCCTCTTTTTATCCATTCTTCATAAAATAGACAGTACTTAATGATATAAAACTATGATATCTGCGTCATATTTACTTTAAAAAAAAAAATTGGAAAATAAATAAATCATTCAAAGCATTTTTTGTATTCAGTGCAGATAAAAATACTACCACTAGATAAATTTATTTGAAGTTAAAATTTAAATGAAATGACCACATAAAAATGGCAATTCGTCATTATTTTGTTTGGTGGTTTAGCGTTATATATTTTCGATAAATACATACCTATAAATGATATGAGAAACACAAAGACAGACCATTTGACTGAAAAATATAGTAAATCTTTATACAAATACTTTAAATCAAATATCTCAATAGACCTGAAACAGATTAATAAGAATTATGATACTTGGGAAATTTTGATGGATGTCATCAATGTGACCATAAATTGCGTTATTTATGACGTTACTAAGCACGCGACCGAAAGTGGGTTCTATATGCAATTATTATTAAAAAATCTCTTCTTTACTGTTCCATCAGTTCTCTAGTATATGTGTACGACTCTGAACCGCGATGGTACTCCGAACGGCGATGATTACGCTGAAGTGCGATGGTTTGACACTGAAGTGCGTTTTTGTTCACGCTAAAGTGCGATGGTGGCATTGAGACACTATCTTGTTGATAGCTACGCCGAAGTGCGTTGGTGGTAACGTTGAAGTGCGATGAACTACATAAACTATATTTTCAAAGTCGTCTATGTTCACATGTCGATGTAGAAGTCAATTTGTTTGTTAAAAACAGGTTTTTTTTCCGGATTTTGAAGTAAATCATCGAGAGTATTACCCATTTTATTTAAAACTGTGATGATAAATCGGACAAAAATGAGCCAATGTGCGTACACTCGTTCAGAAATTCACCACTGCATGCAAAGGTTATTTTTCATTAAAACCAGTACTAATTCAGTCAATGGAAACACTCGGTATTTGTTTGAATAGCAAATACAAAACAAAACAACATAAACAATAAATATATTCGAAGTGCAAAGTCCAGTCGCAAGTATTAAATGCACATTCAACATGAGAACAAGTAAATAAAAGGCTTATAAACTTGAATAATACAGAAAAGGGGAGTGATTAGTAGAGAGTGGGAAATTTAGCTTTCTGTAGCGGATCCTTTTATTTTCGAAATCTACAGGTTTGTTTTTTTAAGAACGATGAAACGTGGTATTCTCTAAATAAAGACACATTGATCCGCAAACATACTCTCTATATTATAATATTATAGTAAAAGTGGAACTCACGAGAGGAAGTAAGTAAAGATAAACTATACACGTAGAATTATGTTCACATGCAGTAAAATTAAAAAGGACAATCTCTCATTTAGTTTGAAACTGTAACTAAGGTCATTTAGACCATCGCACTTCAGCGAACGGACCATCATACCTCCTAAGACATATGTCTTAACAAACTTTAATGCATTGTATTCCTACCGCAAAACAGTTTATATTTTCATGTCGGAAAATTAAGATTACATGGCAATGTAGCCGATTCAATTAAAACGATAAGACATGCAATCGCCTATTCATTATAAGCTTTAATGAACAAAGGACGCACCAACTTAAAAAAAAATCGTACTCTAAATTAAGGGAAAATATTATTTATCAGATC